AATAATAATAATAATAATAATAATAATAATAATAATAATAATAGAGGAGAATCGAAATGGGTTGGTAATCTATCTATGTGAGGAAAAACAGTGTATAGTATAAAGAATAGAAAGTTTCTCGAATAAAAATTATTGGCTCTAAAACGGTTTGTCTCGCGAAACTCGATCCTATGAAGCGTGAAGGTTAACAAAAATTAAAACTTGAACGCGTTTCGTCCAACGGTTAAATTATCGGTTCTTATTTTTGAGAAAGAATAATTAATTACATTGGTACAGATGATTTGGTAAATATTTTATTAAGAAAAGATACCATTCTTGAATATAATGTTGCGAAGATTTTATTTGATGATGATTGTTTAAAAATTATTAATGGGTGTTTATAAAAATGTGAGACACTTTTGGAGGGTGGATTTTAGATATCGAAACGATGAAAAAAGTTCATATATACATATGTCTAATAAGGATTAATTAACGAGTTATAAGCAGTTTATGTTTATATTAGATAGAGCGAGACGGCGAAAGAGTGAGAACGCTCAACTGGACGCGGACAGTACCGTATTGCAATGTCGCTTGCGTAGCAGAGCCCCTCGATGAAAGTAAGTATACTGATATTTTTTTATATTGATTATTTGATTTAAAATGAATTTAAATATAAACACTTTACATAAATGACGGAATAAGAAATTAAATTTTTATTCTCGATAAGGATTCTCGAAATTAAATAATTCGTTTCGATTGTTAATCAATTTAATTTACATTATAATCGAACTAGTTAGTTTTCTTAATCTTTTCTTAACAATAAATTTGACTAAAATTGATCTTAGCTAAATTATTTAAACTCGAAACGTTTGTTTTATAAAATTTTTAAAACGAACAAATAAATTTAATATGATAATTTTTTAACGAACAATCAAATGGCCAAATAAAATTTTCACGAATCAACTCAGAATAATGCTCTTAGCAACCTTTGAACCTTTTGAATTATCAATGATATCGTTTATTGGTAATCCAAGATAAAAAAAATAAAAAAGACAAAGACGAACGTACGTAAGTAAACTGGGTGCGGATTCTCTTCGTGGATCAAGTGGAATCTTGGAATCAGAGGGAGAGTACAAGGAAGGCGAGGATCACATGGAGGATCGTTTCGAGAATATTTCCTTTCCGCGCATCATCACCACCAATTCCAATTCCCCATATAACGACGATGTCACTCCAGGCAAGAGTGTGACGTCACCATGGAGACCTGGGTATTGTCCTAGATGGGTCGCCACCAACCTTCCATTCGCGAGAGTTTCCGAGTTCTCGAGATGGCGCTGGTATGTCATCGGCATTAGCCGCGATATTGTTTCGCGAGATTCAACCAAAACCTATACACGTATATATTCCCCGTTGCAGGAGTTATGGATGCGTCAGGCATTGCTTAAACCAAAATTAAAGATAACGATAGTCCATCAAAATGAGCTTTCCTTTTTCGTTATCCTTTATGATTCTTACGTTTATCCAGATAGAAAGAATTGATCGAATTTATTTTCAAAATCAAAGAGAAGAATCGAATTAATCAAGCCAAACTTGTTCCAAAGTTATTAGAAAGTATCGGCTATCGTTCCAGAAAATAGGTGTTGATGGAATTTCTATGAAATTTATTCACGATTAAAAGGTGATCGTGATCTCTGTTTTTAAATTAGGATCATTCTATATGTTTTTTTTGACGAAAAGAATTTAATTGGAAATTATTGTAGCGACAATCTATCGACAGAATTTTTGTGAAATTTATCCATATTTCTTTCAAATTCGAATTATACATTTTTCGATGAGGAATTAAGGAAAGAATATAATTTTTGTGAAATTTATGTATTTCGATAAGGAATTAAACGAAGGATAAACAGTGTTGCAGTGAAAAATTGGCGACTATTCTAGTGAAACCTGAGTGAAATTTCTGTGAAATTTATATATGCCTTACCAAATCAAGTATTTAATTGGAATATGACGTGTCCCGATTAATGAATGTGTGTGTGTACGTAACAGGTGGTTCTGAGATAAAATCTAAAAATTCTAGAGAAAAATCTATCTACGATGCGATGCGAATTTCTGTGAAGGATTATCGTTCGTGCCTTTCTTCCTCTCCTTAAAGTTTATTTTCCCGTTTTGCCACAAGAATCTAGAATCGACAACAAATTTTTCAACGCGAAACTTTTTCGCGAGGAGAGGATAATTTGTATATTTTGATTAAAGCGATCGATGGAAAACGTCGAATCGCGATGTTGCCGCGTTTCCACTGAGAACATGTCAGTGTTGGATGCTCGTCTCACGATTTCCGTTTCCATTGACGCTGCCAGGGATTACCTCTGCTTCTTACCGTGAAAGTAGACAGCGGTGGAAAATGGGATTGGCGAAGAGGGGGAAGGTGGATAGATCTCGAGGAAATAAGGACTCTGGTGATCTTTGTTCGGATAAAAGGGAGTCTTCTATCCTTATTCGTGTGTGCATGTTTGTGTGTTTGTGTACATTCTTCTCGGGCACATACGTGTTCCAAACGTATACGTGCACTTTTCTGATATTCGAGGAGAAACATGCTACTGTGTAATGATCTCTGAACGTTTTGTCGCGTCACGTTGTAATCCAGCAGGAATTTCAACGGCAACCGATAGATGTTTTTTCAATGCTTTAAATTTCTTTCCTTTTTTCTCCATTTTTTTCTCTTTTTTCCCCTCTCCTTTTAAATTGTCGACGAATTGATCCTTCTCGAAGATCTTGAAATTGAGGATCTGCGAATAATTTTTTAAATTCTTTCTTTTTTTTTTTATCGCCATCTTCGAAAATGCAACAACTCTATATATATATATCTTAATAAACAGGGATAATAATCGAGATAATAATTCTGTTTATATGTGTATAGGATATATCTAAGTCTGTGATAATAAAAATATCGCGAAATTTTAATTTTATTTTTCATCGATTCGTATTGTTGAAAAAAATTAAACGTTTGAAAAAATATTAATTATTTTAATTATTAATTATTTTAATTCTAATGAGGATAGATTATACGTTTTCTTTGTACAAAATTACATGTTATTCATTTACATGTTTATCCAAAATAGAATGATACTCGTAATTAAGAGTAATGGATTTCTAATTAAGCTCCTAATGGATTTCTAAAATTATCAAAGGAAAAAAACGAACGAAAATTCATGTTATCATGATTTCATATATATATACATCACACATATATACGCGATACATTTCCTGGAAATCGTTAATATTCATATTCACTTCCGTTTATTTTATACTTGCGCATTAGTTTTCGCGCAAGAGATACGTGTGTACAGTAATTTATTTACCGTTGTCATTATCGCTGTTTGTTGATTCCTTGATTATCATACGTTTATTACTATCTTTATCACGCGCGCGCGCGCGTGCGCGCGTGTGCGTATCTAATTTTCCATTGTTAACGATACTCAAAATGAAAATGTTTCGCGAGATTAACACGTTTCACTTGATAATTTTAATTTCGTTTTTTTTTCTCCTTTTTTTTTACGCTTCGATATTTTAATACAACATAATGAAAACGATGTTTCGCAATCTTGATGAACAGAGTTCCCTGAATATTCGTTAACTCTTTTTCGAAATCTTTCTGGGCTGGAAAAAGTGACTCGTGAATTTCGTCTCGTGAATCGAATTATATAATCGTTTCAAAATTTCGGAGGAGCGACTCTTTGTCTCGCCATTTAACTTCCGCAAATTGGTTTAATTCCTCGTTTAAAGTAAAAGGGAGATAGAGAGAGAGAGAGAGGAGAGAGAGAGGAGGAGTTTTGAATGAAAGGATTTGTGTACACTACGGCGGCTTTTGTACTCCACGATTGAATCGAGAAGGCATCTTAAACCGTGTTTCGAGCGGTCTGTGAACCAGGGTGTCAGGTAAGACGCGGCCGCCATTGAAATTGCTTCCATCTAGGAATCCGATGTAAGCCGAAGTCAAACTGCTGTTGATTAGCTCGCGGTCCCTGTATGTCTATTAACGAAGACCATCGTTGGCGGTGTATCAAATAGCTGCTTTCTTAGCCTGTTTCAATCACGATTTCAATGTCGTGATTATTATACGCGTTACAACCTCGTGTCTTTGAAACGGCGCTTTGTTTTTGCTTCGAATTGAGCACATTCATCGAGCATATGAGTCAGTTAAATTCACGTTTCGCGTTCGAAATTTTCACTTTTTCGCATCGAAATTGTGAAGCAAAGCCTCAAGTTCAAAAATCGAAGATTAATTATCCAAAGATCGATCCAATTGATTACTTTGTAGTTAATTTTTAATTTCTTCTCGTAAACAGATTTTTTTCTCTCTCTTTTAATTAAAATTAAAAACGATCGAAACACAGATCGATTCGAAGTGGAATAAGCTCGAAATAGTTCGATCGAAAAATTCTCTTCCGATTGGTTCTCGTATAATTTCCAATTATTTAATTTGAAGTTTGTATAAGTATAAGATAGAAAGATATTCTCAATTTTCGAGAAGTAAAAAAAAAAAAAAAAAAAAATGTAAGAAAAGACTCACCGTACGATTCCCGAGATTTTTCACTTTGCACACTAGATGCACGGTTTTCCCCACCAACCCGGTGAAGTTCGACTGCATCGAGGTATCGAAATGGGGCCCTGTGCCGGGAGTTGGCCACTCCTCCAGAAAGTCGGTTCGAAAATTTCTTATACATGACGCTATACCACCTGAAACACGACAAAATTCAATTCCTTTCTTTTTCATCCTCTCTGCAAATATTTTGTAAACGATATTCTCGATTGCGAAAGCTATATTTATTCAACGCAAACTGAACGATTAACTCTGGAAGTCGAATCGGTCGAAATAAACATTAATTTTTATATGGTTGCTTGGTTAAAGAGAGAAAGAAAGAAAGAAAGAAACGTAATGGCCGTTTATATACGTGTTTCGCTGAAAGGTCGCTTAAAGGACGTTTAAAAAACTTTACTGAAACGGCTCGACGATTCGAGAACGAAAACAGTTGAAAAAGAAAAGAGAAAGAAAGAAAGGAAGGAAGGAAGGAAGAAGAAGAGGCGAGAAGAAGATTCGGAATTGAATAATTTCGAGCTAACTGGCTGGCTATTCAGTTAAGCGATCTCTTGAGAGTTTGCATAAAGACGGGTGCGTCCTATGGGACGCAAGACATTTTGAAAAGCCGTGAAGTTTCAAAGAGATTAAAATGCGTGTCGACTCGCGAGCATATTCGCGAGAGGTAAAAAGTTTCAGAAAAGTTAACAGATCGAATTTCCTTCGATGTTTTGTTGCTTATAATAATAATAAGGTTCTCTGGGAGGAATATATATTCTTTCTTATTGGCGAAAGATTATTTTTTCTCGATCGAGAAAATCGATCATCACGATCATCACGAAAATAGAAAATATTTTTTACGAATCTCTACGTATATCTCTGTCTCCAAACAGATTACGTTTCTTTTTTATTTATTTATTTATTTATTTATTTTTTCATTCAGTTATCTTTCGTAACGCGATAGGATTTTCCAACCGATTGCAATATTCTATTCGAACATTTCGATGACACGAAATAGTTCTAATTCCAAATACGGAGAACGGAGAATAGATTGTAACGAGTGCCAGCCGCATTCGTTCAAAATATTTTTTTTTTTTTCATAGACACTCTCAGGTCGATTGTCGGCACGAATACGCATAATCTGCGTATTCCATCATGCGAGATCAACTCGATATAGAATTCATTGGGACACGCGCATTGCGAATGTTTCCCTTTGTATGTACATCGAATCGCCTCTATTCGACGTAATATCATAAACGATTCGATCAATTCGAATCTTT